ATTCAACACCACCCATCTATCTCTTAATACCATCCATATTGGATTTCTATTTGCCATATATTTTTCAACTGTACTGTGATGTTTTACAAAAGTTTTGAACCTTTCTATTCTCATTGTTTCTACAGATTGTAAATTGAAAATAAACATTTTTGCTAAAAGTATTATTATATTATTGATCGATTGACTATGACTTTTCAGATCACCCAGTAATGCTATCTGCAGGGTTAGCTCCAGGTAAATATTGCAAAACAAGCTACAAATGTACAGTACCAAAACAAATTATCTAATGATTCTGTCTCTTCGCAGCAAAATCTGCAGAGCTGGGAAGATTGTATTCCCCATATAAATAACATTCTATTGGTAGCAAGAATTTTATACAATAATTTAAATGGAAAAATTATAAGTTTTGAATTCGGCGTCGTTTTGCGTATCAGTTCATAAACATTATGCCATCAGTTCATAAAAATCTCTTCCCAACTACAGTGGGGAGAACAAGTATTTGATACACTGCCGATTTTGCAGGTTTTCCTACTTACAAAGCATGTAGAGGTCTGTAATTTTTATCATAGGTACACTTCAACTGTGAGAGACGGAATCTAAAACAAAAATCCAGAAAATCACATTGTATGATTTTTAAGTAATTCATTTGCATTTTATTGCATGACATAAGTATTTGATACATCAGAAAAGCAGAACTTAATATTTGGTACAGAAACCTTTGTTTGCAATTACAGAGATCATACGTTTCCTGTAGGTCTTGACCAGGTTTGCACACACTGCAGCAGGGATTTTGGCCCACTCCTCCATACAGACCTTCTCCAGATCCTTCAGGTTTCGGGGCTGTCGCTGGGCAATACGGACTTTCAGCTCCCTCCAAAGATTTTCTATTGGGTTCAGGTCTGGAGACTGGCTAGGCCACTCCAGGACCTTGAGATGCATCTTACGGAGCCACTCCTTAGTTGCCCTGGCTGTGTGTTTCGGGTCGTTGTCATGCTGGAAGACCCAGCCACGACCCATCTTCAATGCTCTTAATGAGGGAAGGCCAAGATCTCGCGATACATGGCCCCATCCATCCTCCCCTCAATACGGTGCAGTCGTCCTGTCCCCTTTGCAGAAAAGCATCCCCAAAGAATGATGTTTCCACCTCCATGCTTCACGGTTGGGATGGTGTTCTTGGGGTTGTACTTATCCTTCTTCTTCCTCCAAACACGGCGAGTGGAGTTTAGACCAAAAAGCTATTTTTTTGTCTCATCAAACCACATGACCTTCTCCCATTCCTCGTCTGGATCATCCAGATGATCATTGGCAAACTTCAGACGGGCCTGGACATGCGCTGGCTTGAGCAGGGGGACCTTGCGTGCGCTGCAGGATTTTAATCCATGATGGCGTAGTGTGTTACTAATGGTTTTCTTTGAGACTGTGGTCCCAGCTCTCTTCAGGTCATTGACCAGGTCCTGCCATGTAGTTCTGGGCTGATCCCTCACCTTACTCATGATCATTGATGCCCCACGAGGTGAGATCTTGCATGGAGCCCCAGACCGAGGGTGATTGACCGTCATCTTGAACTTCTTCCATTTTCTAATAATTGCGCCAACAGTTGTTGCCTTCTCACCAAGCTGCTTGCCTATTGTCCTGTAGCCCATCCCAGCCTTGTGCAGGTCTAAAATGTTATCCCTGATGTCCTTACACAGCTCTCTGGTCTTGGCCATTGTGGAGAGGTTGGAGTCTGTTTGATTGAGTGTGTGGACAGGTGTCTTTTATACAGGTAACGAGTTCAAACAGGTGCAGTTAATACAGGTAATAAGTGGAGAACAGGAGGGCTTCTTAAAGAAAAACTAACAGGTCTGTGAGAGCCGGAATTCATACTGGTTGGTAGGTGATCAAATACTTATGTCATGCAATAAAATGCAAATTAATTACTTAAAAATCATACAATGTGATTTTCTGGATTTTTGTTTTAGATTATGTCTCTCAAAGTTGAAGTGTACATATGATAAAAATGACAGACCTCTACATGCTTTGTAAGTAGGAAAACCTGCAAAATCGGCAGTGTATCAAATACTTGTTCTCCCCACTGTATTTTGCAATATATATGGGACGGCTGTCAATCCTTTGGTCCTTAAATGAAACTGGTATACTTTTTTATTTATCACAGTTTTCTTTAACCAATGATGTTCTTTAATGCAAGGCCGACAGACAAGTTCCTTACTTTTTCCCCCTTCCACTTTCCTCTTACATTTTTGCGGTAATGCTGCAATTATTTGGTTGTAATTTTGGGTAGAGCAGACTTTTCCATATGTTTTTGTTAGCTGCATGTGCGACAACTCCACCAGTCCTACCGATAATATCATTTACGAAGATTATACCTATTTTTATTTTTTATTTTTTAAGAACAGTTTTTTATCAATTAGTATATTTGAGTTTAACCACAATATTTGTTGCATTATTTGTTCTGTTGTTTCTGGAGGATTAAATTGAAATGGCAACCAACATTCTAGGGCTTGTTTTAGAAATGGTGATATTTGGGAGATGATTTCCTTTTCAAATAACTGAAAGTGAGAGGTTGTAATCTGGTGAGACAATCGTACTAATTTGTTAGAGAACCAGTTCGGATTTAAGTATAACTTTTGAATGACTGAAGCTTTTAGTGATAGGTCTAATGCTTTAATATTTAATATTTTCAGTCCTCCAAATTCATATTCATTATATAAATAGGCCCGTTTAATTTTGTCTGGCTTGCCGTTCCAAATAAAATTGAATAGTTTTTTCTCATATAATTTAAAAAACTGTTCGCTTGGTGTAGGCAAGACCATAAGCAAATAGGTAAACTGGGATAATACTAAAGATTTAATCAGGGTGATTTTTCCACAAATTGACAGGTATTTACCTTTCCATGGTAGCAAGATCTTATCTATTTTTGCAAACTTTCTATTAAAATGTATTGAAGTGAGATCTTTTTTTTTCATTTGGGATATGTATTCTGAGTATATCACCATCAGACCATTTTATTGGTAAACTACATGGTAATGTAAACTTTGTATTTTTTTGTGATCCAATACATAATATAGTACATTTATCATAATTTGGTTGTAATCCAGAGAGGTTAGAAAATGTATCTAGATCCTCTATGAGGCTGTGGAGGGATTCAAGTTGTGGATTTAAAAGAAAACATGAATCATCAGCGTAAAATGACACCTTTGTTTTTAAGCCCTGGATTTCTAATCCCTTGATATTATTGTTGGATCTGATTTTAATAGCTAACATCTCAATGGGACATAATAAATAGATATGCCGATAGTGGACAACCTTGTTTCACTCCTCTTGACAATTTAAAACTTTCTGAGAAATAGCCATTATTTACTATTTTACACCTAGGGTTACTATACATGATTTTAACCAAATTTATAAGAGATACTCCAAAATGGAAATGCTCCAGGCATTTATATATAAACCCAAGTCGTACTTTATCAAATGCCTTTTCGAAGTCTGCTATGAATAGCAGGCCTGGTTTCCCAGATTTTTCATAGTGTTCTATTGTTTCCACTACTTGCCTTATATTATCTCCAATGTATCGTCCATGTAAAAAACCTGTCTGATTAGAATGAATAATGTCCAACAATACCTTTTTAATTCTATGAGAGTCATGTTAATAATTGTCCAAAGTAGGGATGGAGAGTGAACTGCACAGCAAGTAAGGTAGGCTGCAGTGGGTTTGCTGGTCAATACATATACTGAACATGTAACCACAATAATGGTGGCCAGATAATCAATTAATTAAAATTGAATATTGACAAATTAAACAGAAATTGTAGACCTTTAATCTTTTCCAACATGTCAACAGACAATTTAATAATCTTTATCCCTGGTTGATGTAAATTTGAGAGCCTCTTCCGTGTGGATGGGTAATAGCATACAATTTCAACAACAAAGACAGCACTTCCAGTTTGTGTTCTTGACTCTGTTGAACTCTTTTGTAGCACATGGAACCACCGTTGGCATGCAAAACATCTAAAACAGAACAAAGTGTAAAACGTTTTAAATAATATCAAATATCAATGCAGTATGACATATTTGCCATCCATTGTGTTATATCATTAATTGTCACTGTTGCCAAAAGATTATAAACATGTTAAATAAAGTTACTAACCCAGTCAGTCTTTGGGCCACATCCAGGTTCTTTGTCAGTGGGACACATGAAGCAGTTGTTGGCTTTGTTGAACTCTCAAATCATGGGCATGAACTGAACATATGGTTGTCCCACACAACTACATAAAAATAAAGAATTGACATTTACTTTGAATGACATTTCATTACATACCAGACATTTTTAGTATATCCTTAGCCATTTATTTTCAGTTGCTCCATGTGTTTTTGTGAAGGTTCTATATCCATTTGGGAGGGGATGTTGGGGAAGTTCTGTGCTAACCATTCATTATTGAAAATATACAGTTGGAGTCGGAAGTTTACATACACTTAGGTTGGAGTCATTAAAACTTGTTTGTCAACTACTCCACAAATTTCTTTTTAACAAACTATAGGTTTGGAAAGTCATTTAGGACATCTACTTTGTGCATGACACAAACAATTGTTTACAGACAGATTATTTCACTTAAAATCGACTATCACAATTCCAGTGGGTCAGGAGTTTACATACACAATGCAGCTCTGGTTTCTCACACCCAGACCTCTGCCACCCCTGAACAGCAACATGCTCTCTTTCCTTCTCCCAAACCTCTCACTGAGACACCTCAGGACAAACCACCTCATAAACATAAGATCTCACTCAATGAAATACAGGACTGGCTCCAGAATGTTTTAAGATCTAAAAATGGACCCGTAAATGGGAACAACTCTACACAAGACCCCTCTCAGTCCCAACAATCCAGCACAGAGAAGATGGATGTTTTACAAGCAGGCGAAACGCACCGACACCTAACCATGAGAGGTTTAGTGCTGACGACTCCACTGTACGGCTAGAGATTACGTCCACCCCCAGGTGTATGACCCTGACGGCAGTCACCACCACTCCGCCCCCTGTGGCTATTGTCCCTCCAATGGGTCCACAGCAGTCCCCAGAGCCCATGGAGACAGAGAACACAGGCAATGAGGTGCCATTTAAGATTTTACATGCCTGGTCCATCAACGAACAACAGGCAGAAAGCCTGTGGGAAAGAGCTAAAGATGATGCAAGTTCTCGATCTGTCCTAATTGAGACGGTTCAAGTTGAGAGTGTTATAGAGTGTGATAAGCTTGTAGATGCATCTGCAACAAGTTCACTGGCATCTACTGGAGAGGACAATGATGAGGTCCTTCAGGTCATCGCACAGATGGACAAGAGTTCACCTTCACCATTTGTCCACACCAATCCTCAGGCAACTGATATTGTACGCATTTGTGGTACCCAGACAATTGTGGACGTTAGCTCTAATGGCGCAGATGAGAGAACTCTTGATTTGTCCACAATTGATGAAGTTCAGTTAAAGTTAAGTACGCTGCAGCAACTGGTTAGTTATCTGGAGAGTGCAGCAACAATCACAGAGGCAAAGGATGGTTGTCTAGAGGCCATATTGGAGATGTATTGGGGCGGGGATACCTCTAACCTGTTAAAAGCTTTAAAAGATAAAAGGGAGGAAAAAAACATGCAGGATGTGTCTGCCTGGGCCACAGAGGATGAGAAGGCAGTGGTTTTCTTTGCAGTCAGTGGTATATCACTGGGGGAAGTGATCGAGCAGTTTCCCATTCCAGAACATGTTGACTGCTCTTCCCAAGTGGAATACAGGTCATCATGGTTAAATGTCAACGAGAATCTGGAAGAGCTTGGTCTATGTGGTTTATACCAGATAAAGCAGAGGAGAGTTCCAAAGTGGTTGGGGGAGTCAAAATGGATGACACCTTCCACAGCAAGGTGAAGACAGTGAACTTGCCTGCACAACAACCTGTTGAAGCAGAAGCAACAGACACAGATCTCGCAACAAACACAGCCTTCATGATGGATGCAGACCCCCAACAGACACAGACCTCCCAACAGACGCAGACTCAGAGACAGAACCCCTTTCCCCAATGATTTTGACCGTCCTCACATCAGAGTATGCTGTGAGACTGATTGCTGAAACAGAGGCACCAGACACAGACCTCACAACAGACTCAAACTGCCCAACAGATGCAGACCTCAAAACAGTCACAGACCTCACAACAGACTTGGACACAGACCCCCTTTCCCCAATGAATTTGACCATCCTGACATCTGAGGATGCCATGAGACTGTTTTTCCAGATTGAAAATGGCTGTGACCTCCAACTCGGATCCCCTGAACCATGCTCTGAAAACAAAGATAAGACACAGACAAAGCAACTAGAGAATATAGTAAGTGGCAGCTTAGATAAGTCCTGCTACTGTCCTTGTATTATTGAAAGTGACAATGGGTTTGAAAGTGGCCTATGCTCCAGTTGTCAGAGAGAGAAAGGATTGCAGCAAGGTACAAGATGCATAACAATCGGACACTGCTTTACCCTGTCAGATACAAGCGACAATTCAGATCAAGAGACAGAAGCAACAGACTCAGACCTCATGATGGACGCAGACCCCCCAACAGACACAGACCTCCCAACAGATGCATTCTTAGAGAGAGAACCCCTTTCCCCAATAATTTTGACCATCCTCACATCAGAGGATGCTGTGAGACTGCTTGCTAAAACAGACTCTGGGGGGAAGGCGACAGTGGACAATCAATGCAGGCGCAAGAAGCAGATACAATCAACTGAAGAAGAGGGTGATGACAATCAATCCAGTGACAATAAAACAGAGGGAGAAATGCAGAAATGTACAAGCGTCGTACCGATCACTGACTTTTTTTTCTGGTCAGATACAAGTGAGGATTCAGATCAGGAGACCGAGGAGAACCCTAATGAACAACATGCTCAGATTGAGGCTCATGCTTCTAATGTTAAAAGGACAGAGCCTGAAACTGATGCCAAAGCACCATGTGAGTCAGCCCAAGAACATAATACCCAAAGCAAAGTCAGTCCTGGTTCTGAGGATAGGGAAAGACGGCAAGAGAAGGACCAAGACTGTAGGACGAGTACATCACTACTTCCCAAGGTTGAAACCCCCTCTAAGTTAAGATCTAACATCATAGCAGACAACTGGTGTTCAACTATAGAGGACTGTGGTTCACCTGTAGATAAGTATGACAAAGTTGCTGACTTCGTCACCCAATACAAAATCTGCAAGTCAAAGAGAAAGAATATATATATATATATATATATATATATATATATATGGAAAATGAGAAAACCCTCCATCCAAAGACATCTGATAGACAAAAGCCCAGGAAAAGCCATGGGAGAGCAGAGAGGGGACGGTCACCATCCCAACCCCCTAAGAGCTCTGGGGTGAAGGCAACTGTGAATAATCAACGCAGGGACAAGAAGCCACATGCATCACACAAGAGGAGACATTCGACTAAGAGTGATGAAAATCAATGCAAAGAGAAGAAGAGGGGATCATCAACTGAGAAAGAGAGTGAGGACAATCAAAGTAGGGAGAAGAAGAGGAGACCTTCAATTGAAAAAAGTGGGTGAGGGCAGTCAATCTAGGGACAAGATGTCACAGAAGAGGAGAACTTCAACTGAAACTGAAGGCAGGAACTCTGGTGACTCCAAAGAGTTGCAGTGCCAGTTGGTGGAAAGAGAGAGGGACCGCGGCATTGGAAACGCACCGCCATGCCCTGGGGTGAAAACCCTCCATGTGCAGGGATCCTCAACTACCACCGTTCCTCTCAAACTCTCCATAAACATCTCCAAAAAGCCTTCCACAAACGGCTCACCCTCCAAACATACTGAGGAAGTCCCCAAAATGCCAATGGAACAGCCAAAGATTAAAGCCCCGAACAAAACTAGCAGACACCGCTCCCCTGCAAAGTCAGTGTCTTCTGTTGTCAAAGAGAGGCAGAGGAACGGCGTCAAACACAAGCAAAAAATTCAACGCCTAAAAGTCAGATTGGATCTTGTCAGGACATCTTGTCAGGAAAGGTTCTCCACCAAGCCCTAAGAGAGAGGAAGGTTCCCCACCAAGGCAGAAGATGGTGGAGGATAGAGGAGACCCTGGGGGTTTAGGGGTAAAGGTTTCTAAGACTCCTGACTCGTCCATGAAACTAAAACGTAAGGCAGTGAACGACTTTACATCCCAACAGAAGTTGACAAAGATTCCGAAGATGTTGAATAGGAATGAGAAAGGATGGTTTTCAAAAAGCGAGTGTGAGAATGACTCGCCGCCCCGAAAGCCAAAGCTGCCAAGAATTCCTAAGCTTCCGAGGACTCCAGATGTTTCAAAGGATGGGAATGAGGGAGAGAACAGAGAAGAGACATCTCCTAGTGCTTTACCTGAATCACAAACGCTGAACAAACCTGCAAGAGTGGAACTCAAGCCGAAACCTTTTATCAAACCTGCCAGTCCCAATGGTAATAGGCCAGGTAGTCATGCTTGCCCTAATCCGGTCAGGGTATCGCTGCCATATGGCAATGGACATTTTGGGGCAAAAGTCTTTACGAGGCAGCAGGTGTTCTCTGATTGGACTCGCAGACGATCAGGGTGTCCTCCAGAGGAAGTGGAAGGTCCACAGGCCATTCGCAGGTCAAGCTCGGAGACCAGGATCATCCGACCCATTCCAAAACCCAAGCGGAACATCAGCTTCGCTTTGAATCTAAGGAAGGTGCACTGCTTAAAGCCCCGTGAATATGGAAATGATGTCATGTTCAATAGGTCTTACATCGATCCTGAAGATGCACAGCGTTTTGACGAGGAAGAGGAAGATGCTCCTGTGAACTGCCAGAACACGAAGGAACAGCCCCCTGTTAGGTAAGAGAAGCGGCAAGATATAGGGGAGCTGAAGCCTGGACCAAGCGGTGCATGTGAAAAGCCCTTCAAAAGGAAGCGTGAAATGCATGAGCCTGCTGCCATTTTGATGAAAAAGAGCGTTGTTCAGGCAAACCATTTGGAAGAAGTCTCTCCATCGTGAACCTCCAAAAGACTCCAGACACTCGTGTAAGGACACCGATCACAAGCCACTGGCAAACGAATATGGTATGTATTCCCTCAGTTTTTTGTGGAATATGTATAGCTAGCATTGGCATGAAAAACGAACACACAGAATAACGCATTACAGGTCAATATTTAGTTAAATATTATTGGATTTCCAGTCATTGACAAGTTCTTCTGGTTACAGCAAAAAAAAACTGGAGTTGGTTACAAGCGGTCAGAGAAGCAGACGAAGATGCCAAATGAAATTGAAGGTAAGTCGCAGGCTATGCTAGCCTCACATGGTAGGCTACTTTTACAATTGCGCCAATGATTTCCCAGTATTTCAAACAAAGTTGTATATGTATTTTCTTTTAGAATGTTGATGTTGGAATCATCTAGATCAGGGTTTCCCAAAGTCGGGACTGGGCCCCCCGGGTGCACATTTTTTTTTTGGTCCTTGCACTACACAGCTGAATTAAATAACCAAAGCTTGATGATGAGTTGGTTATTTGAATCAGCTGTGTAGTACTCAAGCCAAAAACAAAACGTGCACCCAGCAAGAGCCCTAGGACGGACGTTGGTAATCCCTGATCTAGATGAAAGGGTATTATGTTATTTATAGGAACTGAGTAGTGAATGCAAATGTTTCATGCTATTGTACACAGGCCTGTGAGCCAGTTTCAATATTACCTAAGTAAAGTTGGGAGTTAAAGTGAGAGGGGTGACACAGAATAGGGGTGGGCAGACAGGGGTATTTCCCAACTCTCACAGGATGTGACTCAATTCATTACCATATGTAATTGATAAGGGTCATTCCATTTGATTTCAATCACTTTTTGACCGCACCCCTTTTGATTTGAACAAAACTTCCCATACATATTTGCCCATGGTAGAAGATGTCAGAAAGTGACTTTTTGAACCAGAATGCCAAAACGTTCAGGAGATAGAGGTGCCCAAAGTTGACCCATTTTGCATACCCTACCATACATCCATATCTTCATCACTGGAAAAGATTAAAGGTTGAGTTTGATATAATTTAAAAGCTTACAAAAAAATATTGGCAAGATTATGCTGTGTCTCAACTGATGGCTGGCACAACACATACACCTCAGATTATGTAAATCAGGGTTTAAGATACAACATATGGGAAAAAAATAAAGAGTTTACACGTTTTTGATAATTGATGTTGAAGTTTAAAAAACAGACATTTTTATAAGTAGTTTACACGTTTGTGCGTATCCTGAATGGGATATGCGAAATGGGTAATTTTTGAGCACGTCAGTGTCCTGAATGTTTTTGCATTCAGGTCCAAAAAGCCACTTTCTGACCACTTCTACCATGGGCAAATATGTATGGAAAGTTTCGTTCAAATCAAATGGGGTGCAGTCAAAAAGTGACTGCAATCAAATAGAATGACCCATAAAGTAAATGAGAATGCTTGGGGAAAATGTTGATGTACTTGTTCAGAGTGTACAAAAACATTATTATCGATGATAATTATTATCGATGATAACGTCAATACCAACTTGTTCAACTTGTTAAATATTTCTCACCTGCTTGCTTATGTTTGCCTCTTAGGTTCCTCTCCGAATGCAAGCCCCCCTCACAGTAACCATCCAGCTTCCTCTCAGAATGCAAGCCATTCTCACGGTCACCATTCAGGTTCCTCTCAGAATGTATGATCCCCTCGTGGTCGCCATTCATCCTCCAGCCTATTGAGAAGAGTTGAGCCAACAGCCAGGCACCATAGCTCTCCCATGAACGAATGGAATGAGCGGTGGTCAGGAGACAGACGTGATTTGTAAGCCAATCCGCCCTGACAGGATACACCAGACAAAACAGTAGTTGATGGCAACTGGCAAAGACAATTCTTTTACCTCAAACCTGACGTTGTGCATATGCTGTTCTTTTTTTAAACTTGAAACACTACAGACAGTGCCTATAAAGCCATATTTAGGCTACATTATGAAGTTTACTTTTCTACATGTTTTTATCTGTTTTTAAATGAATACATTTCTCTCTCTATAATAGGTTCGGATATTTGTGGTTGAAACAGTCAGAAGTGTGTTTTATATACTATGTATATGTGTTATTGTTACTCTTGACACCCAAGGGTGATTTGTGTTTGGTTACCCGTATTCCTATAGTATTGTTGTCCTACATTGTTAGGGCATCATAATGATTAAGTGATGGTATTGGAAATTGAATTTAGTTTGTTTCTAGTATTTTTATTGTCTACTTCTATTGCAGCCAGAACCAAAGCTAACGGGGAGAAACCAGACTGAACTTATTTTTTAAGGAGATTCTCCTGTCCCATACACACATTTTTTTTTTGGTGGTAAAGTGGGTACATGTATCATGGATATCCAACATCAAATGATGTTTGAAAGCCATTCACTTTGTTTGATGTGGTTCCTTGCGCTGGATTTATAGTTATCTGTGGCCATAGATGTTGTTTGTAGTTAAATTCAACTGATGCTGCTCATGTTTCGGGTATTGAGGAAGGTTTGTACTTTACAGGTCACTGGTTTTATACTAAGTCTTAAAAATTGGTCTAAATGCCAAGTTTTGTTTTTAATATCTGATATGACGTGTAAACACAGGATTTGGGGATGTGTTCAAGCCATTCATTTATGTCACTGTGGATGCCAGAAAGTCTGGGTGGCCACTGGTGTTAATATTAGAATGATTGATAGATGGAATGTCCTGACTGGGGTGCAAGCTGATACCATCGTGGTTGGGAGTGTCCTCCAATGACTGTTGGCAACTGTTGGTTAGAACTTGTTTAACGCTGAAGTATATAAACTGAGAGATCTCTTGGTCTATCATTCGGATAGCAAGAGGCAACTTACTTGTATCTTATGTTGAATCCGATACCATATTATTAAATACCTTGTATCAAATCTCCATCTAAGAGTTTAGTTGTATTCTTGCATACTGAATTCCTTAATACCAGATAATCTCATCCCGGCCGGCCCCCTACTGTTTCTGTGCCTACCCCTCCTGGGCCATCTATGCTGTAGACCTTCTACTCAAGTGGGGCACTGGGGACAGAGGTGAGGCCTGGGTGTATTAATGCATACGTTTGTGTGTACGTTTCCTCACACATTCACAAGATAGGCTAATTGTATACACTGTGGGAACAGGAGGACAGCTGGTCTGGCCTTGAACTGGCTACAGTCTCAGAAACAATAGATAGGCTAACTGTTATTGTCCACATTCTTATTGATAATCTCACACTTTGCATGGAAATGATCCCACGCATGGTTTACACACTGTCATGATCGTCATGAAAAGTGGACCAAGGCGCAGCGTGATATGCGTACATCTTCTTTAATAGTGTACTATAAACACGATACAAACTACAAAACAACAAACGATACGTGAAGTCCTCGGTTAACAAAACACAAACCTACACGGAACAAGATCCCACAAAACACAAGTGCACAACAGGCTGCCTAAGTATGGTTCCCAATCAGAGACAACAAGCAACAGCTGATTCTCGTTGCCTCTGATTGAGAACCACCCCGGCCAACATAGAAACACATGAACTAGAAACTGAACATAGAAAACGAAACATAGAAACTACACATATAAACTAACACCCTGGCTCAACATACAAGAGTCCCCAGAGCCAGGGTGTGACATAAACCCAACAGGGAAGGGGCCGGGTGGGCATTCCGCCTCGGAGGCGGATCCGGCTCCGGGCGTGACCACCACCCTCTAACAACCCCCCCGTAGCGCCCCTGGTCTGCTCTGGACTGGACATCGGTGGAGCGGATTGCTTAGGCTCCGGTGTGGAGCAGCTGACCAGTACCTGACCAGGCACCGGTGAAAAAGGCACGGGCTGTGCCGGACTGACGACGCGCACCACAGGCTTGGTGCGGAGAGCAGGAACGGGCCAGACCGGGCTGACGACGCGCACCATTGGCTTGGTGCGGGGAGCAGGAATGGGCCGGACCGGGCTGACGAAGCGCACCACTGGCTTGGTGCGGGGAGCAGGAACAGGCCGGGCCGGGCTGGCGACGCGCACCATAGGCTTGGTGCGGGGAGCAGGAACAGGCCGGGCCGGGCTGGCGACGCGCACCATTGGCTTGGTGCAGGGAGCAGGGACGGGCCGGACCGGGCTGACGAAACGCACCACTGGCTTGGTGCGGGGAGCAGGAACAGGCCGGACCGGGCTGATGACGCGCACCATTGGCTTGGTGCGAGGGGCAGGAACAGGCCGGGCCGTGCTGGCGACGCGCACCACAGGCTTGGTGCGAGGGACAGGAACAGGCCGGACCATACTGGGAACACACACCACTGGCCTTGTGTGGGGATCAGGAACGGGCCGGACCGGACTGGTAACACACCTCAGTACCTCTCGCCGTGCCTCTACACTCTCCTTCCCTCTACTGACCAATGGCCCCCGTAACCTGGTGGCCTTCTCTCCTCGTCCACAAACTCGCCCTTTTTCTGCCTCCAGCAGCCCCGTCGTCCATGCCGTGTGCCCCACCCCAAAAAATTTATTGGGGGTGCCTCTCGCCTGTCCGACGACGGCCCGGTTGGCGCCGCTTCTCCTCTCCTGCCTGGGTCTCCCCCTTCATCGCCCTCTGGTAACGGACGGCCTCCTCCTCCGTGATCTGCCTCCAACCGAGGAGGACATCCACTAACGTTACCTCCGGCGTTTGCTCCTGGACACGCTGCTTGGTCCTGTATGGGTGGGATCTTCTGTCACGATCGTCATGAAAAGTGGACCAAGGCGCAGCGTGATATGCGTACATCTTCTTTAATAGTGTACTATAAACACGATACAAACTACAAAACAACAAACGATACGTGAAGTCCTCGGTTAACAAAACACAAACCTACACGGAACAAGATCCCACAAAACACAAGTGCACAACAGGCTGCCTAAGTATGGTTCCCAATCAGAGACAACAAGCAACAGCTGATTCTCGTTGCCTCTGATTGAGAACCACCCCGGCCAACATAGAAACACATGAACTAGAAACT